TCCGCTTAGAATACAGATACATACCAGACTATTTGGAAGCAAATAGATAATTATATAGATCTCTGTACCTGTATAGAGCCATGGCACTGAAGGAAATATTCAGAAGTCATTACAAAAACAGAAGAGGCAGAACCGTTCTATAAGTTCTAGAAAAGAAGGAAGTATTAGGAAGAAATTCAGGCAGGCTGCTCACTGACTCACTGGAGTGTAATGGGGTGAGGTGTAGAGGAAAAACACAAGCTTGCAAGATTCTGTTAATATAGCCTAAATAATTTTTAAAAACTTGACAAAGCTTAGTTCTAACCTTGTGAAGTTGGTTTCCCAATTTGGACAGCCTCAAAGGATATGAAACCTATACAGCAGAGTTTTAGTGGGTGGAGATCTAAATGGTAGGGTGGATAGACAACCAGATTCTTTTTCATAAATGTAAGTGCCAGGAAGAAATATTTGCAACATATATTCCTCTACATGCTTGCATAAACAATGCATTACAAACTCTATCTGACCAGATTATGTGGGCTGGAGAGAAATATCCAGATTCGCTCCTCATTGTGTTAGAAGATTTCAACAGTGTTAATTTAAACCAAGAGTTACTATTTTCAGCATGTCAACTATCTTACTAGAGGCAAGAATGCTTTGGATCACAGCTATACAAAATTAAAAGATACTTTTCAGTCTTTACCATGAGCAGTTGTGGGACACTCTGATCATTGTATGATTCACCCTGTACCTGTTTATAGACAAAGGCTTAAAACCATAAAACCAACAATTGAATCAGTGAAGTATTGGACTAAGGAGGCAAAGTTAAAGCTACAGGCTTGCTTTGATTGCACAGATTGGAATGTTTTCGAAGATACCTCTGCGACTTGGATGAACTCACAGATACTGTAACATCGTATGTTAGTTTTTGTGAAGATCAGAAACTTACGAATTCACAGTAACAACAAGCCTTTGTTCACAGCTAAACTCAAGCATCTACAATGTGCCAAAGAGGAAGCCTACAGGAAAGGAGATAAAATACTATACAATCAGACCAGAAGTGTAATAACAAGGGAGATCAGAGCAGCAAAAAGAAGTTGCCCTGAAAAGCTGAGGAATTAGCTCTCAACAAATGAACCAGCAAATGTGTGGAAAACTCTTAAAAATATAACTAGTTACAGCAAATCTCCTTTCCATGCTGAAGGGAATCACATCTGGAAGATGAACTGAATGTGTTTTACTGTAAGTTTGAGAGGAAACCACTATCAACTATCACCACCATCTCCATCTCAGATACACCATCTCCATCTCAGCCAAGCCTCCTACAACTGACCCTATCCCTTTGGGGGCCCCATCTTTGGTGATCACAGAAAAAGATGTGCAAGATCTATTTCACAGACAAAAGCTTGGAAAAGCACGTGGCTAAGGTAAGGTAACTACTTGCTTGAAAGCTTGTGATGGCTTTATTTATCACTGGAGATGTGCTATGTTCCTTCTTGCTTCAAACACTCTACTATCATCCCAGTGCCGAAGAAACTCTCCATCAAGGACCTGAACGACTATAGACTGGTTGCCCTGATATCTGTAGTTATGAAAATCTTTGAAAGGTTAGTGCTGGCCCACCTGAAAACCATCACGGATCTCCTATTAGACCCCTTGCAATTTGCCTACTGAGCAAATAGATCGGCACATAATGCTGTTAATATGACTCTGCATTACATCCTACAACATCTTGAATCTTCCAAGTACCTATGCAGGTGTCCTTTTTTATAGACTTCAGCTCAGCATTCAATACCATCATTCCAGATATTCTTCTAATTAAACTGATTCAGCTAGCTGTGCCTGATCACACTTGAAAGTGAATCATAAATTTTCTAACAGACAGAAAGCAGCAGGTGAAATGAGGCAAAATCACATCAGATACTTGTACAATTAGCACAGAAGCCCCCTAAGGCTGTGTGTTCTCTCTACTTTTCTTCTCTCTATATAACCAATGACTACATCTCAAAGGATCCCTCTGATAAAGTACTGAAGCTTGCAGATGATACAACAGTGATTGGTCTCATTCGAGACAACAATGAAACTGCATACAGATGGGAAGTTGAACAACTAGCCTTATGGTGCAGCTGGAACAATCTTGAACTGAACACACTCAATATAGAAATGATAGTAGATTTTAGGAGAAGCCCTCCTATTCTACCACCTCTTACAGTGCTAGGCAACACAGTATCAACAGTAGAGACCTTCAGGTTTCTAGGTTCTATAATATTCAAAGACTTAAAATGGACACCTAACATCAAAAATATCATTAAAAAAAGCACAACAAAGAATTTTCTTCGTGTGCTAACTCAGAAAGCTGAGACTGCCCAAGGAGCTGCTGATACAGTTTTACACAGGAATTATTGAGTCTGTCATTTGCATCTTTATAACTCTCTGGTTTGGCACTGTAATCAAACAAGATAGACACAACTGCAGACAAAACAATTGCTTCCAGCCTGCCTTCCATTGAGGACCTGTATACTGCATAAGCCAGAAGGAGGGCTGTGAAAATATCTACAAACCTCTCACATCCTGGGCATAAACTGTTTCAACCTTTTCCCTCAAGAAGATGCTATAGGGGATTCACATCAAAACAATCAGATACAAGGACAGTTTTTCCCTCATGCCATCACTCTGCTAAACAACTTAATTCTCAAACACTGTCAAACTATCTAGTAGGGCTGTATTACTATTATCCTTCATATATTTCCTATTACCTATTTCCTTATCCTCTTATGGCTATAATTTGGTTGCTTGTATCTTACGATTTATATGAATTGCTTTATTTAGTATCCTAGTATGATTTACGTTGATTGCTTATTTAGTATCCTATGACTATCACTTATGATTATGAATGTATTTTATGTTGATTATGATCATGATTTATCATGTTGCTTGTATGTACATTGAGAGCTTATGCTCCGGAGACAGATTCCTTGTGTGTCCAATCACACCTGGTCAATTAAAACTTCTCTTCTCTTCTCTTCTCTTCTCTTCTCTTCTCTTCTCTTCTCTTCTCTTCTCTTCTCTTCCCTTCCCTTCCCTTCCCTTCCCTTCTCTTTCTGCTCTGCTGCGTTATGCTATGCTATCCTCTGTATTGGGTTTGTACACATTAAAAAAGTGTTCTCAACTTTAGTAATTTTAAATGTGTGGACTTCAAATCACAGAGATTGGCAAAATGTATAAATGCAATATAGTAATTGAAAATGGCTGAGAATAGTTTTTCTCAAGTGGATCTTTGCTAGATTTATCCAATTTATACAGGATCTTTAAACTTTTGTTCTATTTAATAAACAAATACCATGTGGGTTTTTTAAGCTTTTGTTTAGAACTTTATCATTCAATTCCATTCCAAAAAAGTATAGAATCCCAATTCAGATTGGAATGGAAGCTCTTAGAGCTTTTCCCATGAAAATTCAAATAAAATCAGGCTATTTGCTGGTATAACTCATCAATAACTATGGAATTAACAAAGAAATAACATTAGATAAAATATTTTAATTTTTTTTTCAGGAATTTGTAGTATTTTAAAGCATTATTTTCATGGGAAGATGTGGATTTTTCTGCATCAAAATCCTAATGATAGGTCTCCTTTTTATATTTTTAGGAGGACAAGGCAGAATTTTTTCATCAGTGATTAAGCTTAATATTTTAAAAATAAAAATGAGAATTTTCAGGTTTCTTTTAAAGTTCTAGTAAGAAATTACATTAGATTCTGTGTTTTGTATTTTTCACTTATTTATTTATTTATTTATTTATTTATTTATTTATTTATTTATTTATTTATTTTATCTATTACATTAATTGCATGATCATGGTGGGCCCAAAGTTGATACGAGCAAAAATTTGTTTTACTCAGTTGTGATAAGATTCCTATCAGGTGAAAATAAGTTATTTCACATCTATATACAGTTTGTGTATAAGATAGATTTTCACAAACCTATATAACAAAATATTCCTTTTCAGTATAAGATTATGTCTCTAAGAGTAAATATTAACTCTGAAGATATCCCATGCAAATGTAATCACTGCAATTCTTTAAAAAAATCATTAACATGTACTGCAGATATATGTTTAATCCCTAATTTCTATATTAAAATTGTATATTGAATTCTAAAAATAGATTTTAAAATAATAGGTCACCCTAGTATATATCCATTTATTGTACATAATCTTTCAAATGTTAGTGTGGTAGTTTTCAAAATCTTTGTTTTTTTAGAAGATAATTATGTATTCCCTAAAAAAACAGCATTAGTTATCTTCTCTCGTGTGGCCTAATTATAAAGAAATCATGCATGGATTCTGGGACACAGATCTTACAAGGAAATAGCTCTGTAAGGACTGGAAGAAGCAACATGAAGTCAAAGTGAACATACAGTATTGCAATAGTCTCTGCAGAAGATTGAGACTTCCACAATTAACGCTTGACAAACTGTTATGCCACATAATGTTTAATTCCATCGGTAGTTAATCCATATATTCTATTATCATATGGAATAAAATAGAAACTTGTTCTAACTCAAGTGATTAGTTTCACAAATTTAGCAATCCTGTGCCAAAGATCAGAGGCAATTTTCAACAGCTGCCACAGTTTTTGATTTAGTCAATATCCCTCTGAAAATGCCCTTTGCTGTCACCTACTGCTGCATCCAGCCAGATTAAGAGGTCAATAATTTTTTATTCAGTAATTGTATCTAGAAGGTAAAGTTTGGAATAGTTGTGATTAAACTGAGACTACCTTGCTTAAAAAACAACACTTCTCAAAGGCTATGGGAGAATCTTCCCATTGTTACGATCTAAGAATGCAGGATGTAAGGAAGCATTCCAAGCAGGACTTGACAACTAATTTGACTTAAATTTGGGATTGATCTTGTTGCTTATATAGTTCCAATCTATTTATCTGTTATAGTTCTGTTTTTCTTTTTGTAATATCATGGGCTACTCAGAGTCCTTTGAAATAAGTAACTTTGTTTCTATTTCAGATTGTATTGGAAAATAGCAGCCGAGAAGATAAGCATGAATGTCCATTTGGTCGGAGTAGCATTGAATTGACAAAGATGCTATGTGATATCTTGAAAGTAGGAGAGTTACGTAAGTCTGTCACTTCTTTGTTGGAGCAACCATTTTGTAGAGTAGCAGGGAAAGTATGGTGAATTTTATTAAAATGATACATTAATTTTCTTGTTATCTAGTTAACTTTCTAGCTGTGCAAGGAGTAATTAGAATGAAACATAAAATAATAGAAACTTTTCTTTTCTTTTCCTTTTCTTTGAAAATATCCATGTAGGTTTCATACCCAAACTGTGTGGATCAACTCATAGTTAAATGAAAGTATAAAAGTATGATATTTTAGAGGGGATTTATTCTGGTTTCTAGTTTGTTTCAATTCTTTGATACAGAATTTAATGCATTTGTAACAATATGATAATCAGTACATGATATTCTTCTCAGAACCAGACCTAGGGCTCAGCCATAATTAAAGAGCACAGTGATTTTGTATTATTTTGTTTTTGTTTTCTTTTGGTGAAACTAGACTAAGAATTGATTTTGAGAAGAAGAAAAATAAGATCTGATATAAAATAAGGCATGATAGGATTTATGGTCCAATGGTTTAAAGCATTGATAGGTCTACGGGAATCAGCAATAAGGTCAATTGTTCTGACATTATTAGAGGATCCCAGCAAATCCTGCAATTCCAAAGAAAAGTCCAATGTAAGTAGAACTTGTATCTAAGGCATACAAGTTCAAATCCAATTCCTGAGACTTTCAGTAGAAGTTAGTGACATGTTATAGGGTTAAGATATACCAAAAGAAAAGTACAAGTAGCTCAGTGAAGATGAAGTATATGAAATTAATTCAAGTAAAGAGGAAGGAATTCTGTTGATTATTCTGACATTATACTGTTAATGTTATATAATTAGTAAGTATTTTATAAATATCACAGAGAGCAATATTGAATAGTTGTAAATATATTTGTGCCTGGTTGAATGTTATATTATTTCTTCATTACTTGCTAATACTTTTTTCTCACATTTTATTGGATGACTTTTATTATGTTAGAAGGCAAAATAACCACGGCTTTCTTAAATAATACTTTGAATTACTAATTTAGTAACAAGATTAGAATATGCAGATAATTTGCCATATTTTCAGGCAATTCAAATAGTCAGTTTAAATGCAATCGTTTTCATGTCATATTACATGGCTGCTATAATGTTTTGTAAAAGGTACAGAAAAAATGTTATAATAACCCTACTGTTTGTGTAATTTTTTGCTGTGAACAAGAAAGTTAAGTGTTTCATGAAGTTATATATTCTGAAAATAAAAGAATACATTAGAAATTTGCCCTCCAAGATTTTTAGGGTTGTAAACAATACATAGAATTTAGATGCCTGACAGCATGTATTTTTTAAAATTCCTAACCTCTTCCGAGAAAGTTTCTCTTCCATTTCCCAACTTGTATAATCTTGACATAATGGGGAAGGCCAAGGAAATGCTTGATAGCTGATAGTGGTTGATGGCTGGTTATAGGTTGAAGTACCCAAATAAATTTTTAAGAAGACTTTGAAAAAAGCAATATAGCAATTTTTCTCCTCAGTTCTATTGAAGAGGCATGCGGGAAGAACTAATGGAATAAAACTACCATATCTCTTCCAATTTTGCAGTTTTAACAGTCAGTAATCCATGTAGCTAATTAAACAGCATTTTTTCTCTGCATGAAGTTAGAAATATTTATGATTAGAGTTTGAATTATTCTTAAATAAGCAGCTCACTTTAGTATTTAATTGGTGAAACAAAATTAATTTACCAAACAAATCATGGAATGCTATCTTAATGAAAAGTTGCATAAGTAAAAAACAACCCAGGGAATGCAAATATTTCAAAATGCTGACCTAAAGGTGACATTGTTATAAATAATTAACAATAAGGTTTTGTTTTGTTTTGTTTTGGCAGGCAAAAATATTGATCCTGTAGGGCTGAATAGATTTTTATCTCTCATATGTCAAATTATGCAGATGTAGTTCTGTCCTATGCACATTCAGCAATAAAAGTAGACTGTGTTTTATGTGATGAACATTAGAAAAGCAAAAATTACTCTTATCAATATATTTCAGAGGATTTCCCCCTTCCCATTCTATAAGAATAATTTTGGTTGCAATTTTAAAATCATTACTGTCTAGGCAGAAGGTACTATGCTCAACTTGGGAGCTGAGGGATTTACAACATGCCCTAAATTGCTGTGTGGCATTTTTATGGATATTTGACTGGCAAAAGCCTCACCTTTTTAAAATATATTCCAAACAGCATTAAAGAGTAAAGAATCTCTGTGAATGCCTTTTTCTTTTAAATTAAGAAGAGGGGGGGGATCTATCTTAAAGGATTTTAATTTAAAGGCAAAAATCTTGAAAATATTGTAATATCAGAAAGTTTCAAATGGAAATGGATGACTGTGATTTTAAAAAATAGAAGAAATAATTTTTTTTTGAAGAAAATTTCTTTGAAAATAGTAAATTTAATTAGACTGACATAGCAGACTGTTGTTGGAAGATTGACTGTTTATATATAAGAACTGTAATAATTGGTGGATTTTATAAAACTAGAAGAAAAAAGTAATTTGAGCCAGATAGCATCACAGTGATCTGAAGAGCCAATTGAAATGAAATGTCTTAAGACAGAGACACAAAACAGAAAAAAGAAGCCTACTTTTTATTTTCACCATAGTAACTGACAAACTTTCATTTTTTCACCATGGCAACCACAAGAGAAGCTACCACAAGAGAAAAGGTTCATTAGAACTACTTACCGATAACAGCATTTTATTAAATTTATTGCAGAAATTGTTTAATGAATTTGATAAAAAGATGACTCAACCGTTAAAAAGAAAATGGAAGAAGGATTTGCATCGATGATGAAAAATCTGAAGGGAGAAATTAAGAAAATTGAAGAATCTGTTGGGCAACTGGCTGCAGATTTATAAGAAATTACTGGCAAAATATAAGATAAAAGTTAGAGAATGAGATGAGAGATGATTTGGACAATTAAGGTTTATTAGAACTTAGGAGAAAAATTGTTTAAGAGTTAGAGCAATTCCCAAAAATGTGGAAAGGGTGTTAAAGAAAAGATTGTTAATTCTCTATCTGGATTCTGGATTGGGAACCAGGATATATTGGCACAGAATTTGATAAGGTCTATAAGATCAATTTGCATTTTATAAGACTGAGAAATATTCCAAGCGATATCCTTGTACATTTTGTCAGGAAGAAGACAAAAGATTATATTCTACAATAGCATTTTAATACCAGATTGAGGACTGATAAACTATAGCAGATGAAAGACATTTTAAAAAATACCATATTGGGCACTACAGGTATTGACTTTTCTAAAATCTTGGACTAATTATGGATTATAAATGTTTAATGTGGAATACAAATGGAGCAGATGCCCCTCAAAAGATAAAAATAATGCACTCTTTGGAAAAGTTAAAGCAAGATGTGATTTATCTAAAATGAAGATAAAACGGCATTTTACAAAAAACTTATGGATAAACTTTTGAAATGTTCATATGGATTGGAATGACGAGGTTTCCCCGAAAAAAGATAGTATTTCTGAGAAAAAACTAGCAAATAGTAAATTACCAAAGATTTTTATTTATTTATTTATTTATTTATTTATTTATTTATTTATTTAATGCATAAATTGGACCTTGTTAATATGTGGAGATATAAAAATGGCAACTCAAAATAATATACTTATTTTTTCTGAAATACATAGATTGTTTTCAAAAATAGACAAGATTTGGATTTTTAAGACTTCATTAATAATATCTATAAAGTGAAGATATTACCAAAAATATTTTCAAATCATAACCCAGTGACTTTAACTTTTAAAAAGAGAAGGGGCGTTGTCTTACCTGAACGCCTTTTCTCAGCATGATGAATGGAGAATCCATGAATGGGTTAAGTGTGTCCTCCTGCCCAAATTAGACCAAATCAGTTAAGGTGCCACGCCCATCCTGGACTAGGTCACGCCCAGTTTTGAATAGGGTGAAGCTAATGACTGTACGACGTGTTGGCTCCTAGATCCCTGACACTGGACCTGACTGCGGATAAGGGATGGGGTTGGATTCTCCATTCATCATGCTGAGAACAGGCGTTCGGGTAAGACAACGCCCCTTCTTCAGCATGAAGAATGGAGAATCCACAAATGGGACTTACCAAAGCCCTTCAGTCCCGAGTACTACCTTGACGGTTCACATGGACCTTTGCTGCCACGTTGTCCGTGAGGACCAGCACATGGTACCTCACAACCTTGTTGCGGAAGTGGCGAAGGGCCAGATGTATAGCTCTGAGCTTCAACCAGTTGATGTTGTGCTCCAGGTCTAGCTGGGACCACCGGCCCTGAGCCAACTGAGATTGGAGGTGCACTCCCGAGCCAAACAGACTGATATCTGTAGTCAGGGTTAGCCGGACGGATTCCTTAAATAGGGACCCTTTGGCTAATGCTGGGGAGGTCCACCACTGAAGAGATCTTAGGGTCTGGGATGAGACCAGTACTCTTTGGTGGAAGAGCTTGTGCCCAGTCTTTGGAATGGGAACAAGAACCATTGAAGGTGTCTGGAGTGTAGTCTGGCCCAAGGCACGATAGCAATGCAAGATATCATCTTTCCCAATAGTTGGGAGAGCAGAGCCAGTGCCACTACATGCTCCCTGCAGACCTTGAGGACTATGGTTTGAATGCAGACCTGACGCTCCCGGGACAGATAGACCTGACAAAGGTCTGTGTCTATTACCGCGCCCAAGTGTAAAAGGCGTTTTGAAGGTATTAGGTGGCTCTTTTGAAAGTTGACTGAGAATCCGTGGTCCTGAAGCGTCCCTATAGTTGAGGCCAAGTCCGCTTGAGCATTCAGAGTGGAGGATGACTGGATTAGGATGTCATCCAGGTAACATTGAACGCAGATCGGTATCGATCTGAGATGTGCGGCGAGGACTGCGAGGACCTTGGTGAAAACCCTGGGAGCCGATGAGAGGCCGAACTGTAGGGCCTTGTATTGATAGTGGTTGTTGGAATAGCTGAACCTGAGAAATTGTTGGTGATTCGGATGGATGGGAATGTGTAGGTACGCCTCCGTAAGATCTATTGATGTCATGAAGTCTCCCCATCAGACACTGGCCAGAATGGACTGGAGCGTTTGCATTTTGAATTTGCGATACGATAAGTGGGAATTTAAACGCTTGAGATTGAGTATCGCCCTCCAACCCCCCGAGGCCTTCGGGACAACAAAAAGGATGGAGTAGAAGCTCTGTCCTAGTTGGCCTGTTGGAACCCTCTCTATGGCTCTTATATTTAACAGGTGCTGAATGGCATTCTCCATGAGTCTCTTCTTTACGGGATTCCTTGACGGGGGACAGGCAATGAAGTGTTGTGGGGGCCTTGTCATGAACTCCAGAGACAGCCCATCTCTGATTGTGCTTAGCACCCAAGCGTCCGTGGTCGTGGTCTCCCATTGGTGGATAAAGTAAGTTAGCCTGCCACCTATGGGAGAGGTCCTCCCCGAGTCACTTTGATCTATGTAAAGGATGGCCTCCCCTGCCTCGAAAGGGCCATTTGGCCTGAACCTGTTGTCTGGGTCTGTCCCTGTAGCCGGACCGGTCCAAAGAGCGGTCCGGTCCTGCCGGAAAGGGCCGGGAGATGTGCCCCGATACCGAATCTGGTCCCGACCGAAAGGAAGGGCGGCGTCCATACGGGAAAAAACGTCGGCTGACCTCTTGGAGAGGTGGTAAAGTACCCTCTGTTTCTCCCTATTCTCCACTAGGTAGGGAGTGAGGGCCTCTTAGAAGAGACGCCCGCCCTGGTACGGGCCGGAGCCCCGCTGCAGTGGGGGTAAATGTAGCCATTGGGGCCTGTAGTTGGCCCACAAGGGACGGCCTCTCTGGAGGCCCTAGCACCTGAGTGGGGTCTTGAGACCTTGGTTCCTCTTCGAAGAGGGAAAGGTGATCCTGACCGAAACTGAATGAAGAACCCTGGGCAGGGTTCCATTCTGGAGACCATGTAGGCACAGGGGACACGATGCGTGGGCCCCCCCTTTGGCGAAGCAAGTGTGGGCGGGGGCGAGTTGATCGTCCCCTCTACCACTAGCTTTTGAGCTCGTGAAAATTGTCTCTCCAAGGCATGATGTCTGCGGCCGGCCTGTTTTTCAGCCGCCTTGGAGGCTCTCTTGTCTAGACTGGCTTTGGTTTTGGCCTTGATTTTTGCAGCTGCTGTCTGGTTGGATGACTTACGCTTTGTATGTCCACCAGAGGTGGAAGCCTGTGGCTCGGTGTTATCCACCATTGTAAATTGAGAGTTTTCAGCGGAATGCTGAAGTGTCCCGGTCTGCAAGAGATGCGGCTATGGCCCACCGAGGTGGGACTGGCCTACATGTGGATCTGTGAGGTCCGGCCCACCGACAAGCTCGGAGTCATACTTAGCGACGGATGTCGCGCGTCACTAGTAGCGATGAACAGAATTGATGAGCTACTGTCAAGGCTAAGGGTTTTTTTAGTGATGAGATCCTACGTGCCTCACTTAGTGGCGGCTCCGGTGGTATCAGCCGTTCCACTAGATGCAGACTGTGGCAAACAGGCTACGGTCGAAGGGGCTCAAATGAGTGAGGATTATCAGTTGAGGAAGGTAAGTGATACTTGGTAATTCAATTTGAGTTTGAAAACCTGTCTGAATAAGACATCCGTCAAAATGATTAGTAAGAGCAGGCCCTATACTCTGCTTGGGGAAAATGCAATAGAATTTACTCGGCCTAGTACTCCATCAGGAGTTCTGGCTTGTGAAGGTCTGCCGCGTTCCAAAATGGCGGCTGCAACAAGTTGATGAGGGAACTGATGGAATGTGAAATTATGGACCCCGGCGATTGCGAACCAAAACAGAGCTATCTGCCCTTCTTCAGGCCTCCGGAAAAGGGAGAGTTCAAAGAGAGCAGAATCCGCTATGAAAATGGCAACCGCAAGTGCCGAAAATCGTAAACAAATTAAATTCAGCCGTTGGCTGCAGGGTGCTCCAAAATGGCAGCTGCGGCGATCGCTGAAC